CCTCTCAGGGAATTACAGACTGGCGAATCTCGAGCCCACTCCGCCGTAGCCCACGCCTCCGCTCTGCCGGTGAGGTGGGAAATTATGTAGACTACCTTAGCCCGTTCCGACTGGAAGGAAGATGCTTGCAGCTCGAAGTGCAACCCACACTGGACCAGGAACGCACGACAGTTATCCGAGTCTCCGGAAAAACGCTCTGGTCTGGAGAGGTGAGGAAACGAAGGCAGCGGTGTCGGCACGGTGGCAGGAACAGGACCGGGAGCTGTAGCCGGATCCGACGCAGGAAGCGAAGGAGCAGAGCGTGGTGGATCGAGATGTGCCACCAGCTGCTGGATCTGATTAGCCAGCTGGCAAACCTGATTGCCGATGGAGGACTGGAAACCCTCATGACGCTCACACAATTCTCTTACTCCCTGGCAGACAGCGGTAAGTTGTTCATCTTGCTGGTTAAGACGAGCCCCCTGGGATCGAATAGCGGTCCGCAAAGTCTCAGAGTCGGCTGAGTCCATGGTTCTGGCCAGTTCGTACTGTAACGACTGAATGAACACAAGTAGAGGACTCAATAGCACGACTCAGAGACAGAGGCTTAGGATGCAAAAAAGGTCTTTATAGCCAAGGTACGATACACGGGAGATCGGTCACAAGGAAAACACTGCTGGAACGCTAGGAAATAACGTAGACGAACTGGCACTGAAGGGAATGTGGATGCAGACTAAGTAGACAGAGGGAGAGAGATAATGAGGCACAGGTGAGGCTAATTAGGGATGGGAAGCAGGTGGAGTTCAATCAGGGCAGGAAAGCTGAAACTGAAATGAGAGAAACCAAAAATGAGAACAGGAACAATAACAAAACATCAACATGCTAGCTAGGGCTTTACACATTAGTTGAGTAGCCCTCCAACACGTGGGTTACAGTTGATGCATGTTTTGATATGGAATTGTGATTATTTATGTATTGATGTATGTATCACTTTAACATTGCAGATGGTTAATGTAGGGCTAGTTTACATTTATTTTTTATATATTTAAAAAATATAATCACCAAACTGAGTGGCTGCTCAAATTCCCCCTAAGGATTTGTAAAGACTTCATATTGATATCTTCATTTTGTTGTTGATTTCATATTTTTCTATAATTATTGAAAACTGGAAAGGAAATAAATGTATCAAGTAAAAATACCACATTTGGCTTAGAGATGTATTGAATTGGAAGTTTAAACATAGCAGGAACAAAAACATTTCCTCAATATTTGAGTTAGATACGTTTCAACTCAAAGGTCATATTTCAAAATTCAGATAGACAGGCAGTATCTTTTTTGTATAACACACAGTTCAACTGTGGCCTTGGTTAAAGTTAGGGCTAGGATTAGGCATTCGGTGAATCTCCATGATATGACTGCCAATGTGTTTGTTTGCTTGTGTGTGTGTGTGTGTGTGTGGTGTGTGTGTGTGTGTGTGGTGTGTGTGTGTGTGGTGTGTTGTGTGTGTGTGTGTGTGTGTGTGTGTGTGTGTGTGTGTGTGTGTGTGTGTGTGTGTGTAGGATTCCAGCCTATGAAACTCAGCTGATCTGAACCGCCCCTATCAGAATTTAGTGGAAGCACATGTTGACAGTTTACCTCCTGTCATCGCCATGCAGCTTCGGTGTCCTCATGCTATCTGTTGCATATGTTAGCCATATTAATCATGTCTAGAAAACTTCTTAGAGATTAACTCCCTCTAAAATGTGTAAAAGCCAGCATGGGATCACAGGATACATGACCTGACACATGTACTTAACATCTTGCATTGGCAGCCCTGAACCACAAGGTAGCAGTGTTTGTTGACACAACATTATCAGACTTTGAACAGAAAACAAGCACTCAATGCTCCATTGATTTTATATTTATTTAGAAAAACACTGAAATTACCAAAAGGCAAAGGACTTGGTTCAACACATACATTAATTTACAAAAAGACTACTCTGTACTCTGCATGACCTGTACCTTCAAGCTTGAATAAAGTTTGAACATTTCCCAATAAAGATTGAACTGTTGAAACAACTTCAAACATTCAACTGCTACTCAGTAGTATGTATCTAATAGCTAATATATATATATCATTCCAATAACTTGTATATAGACTCATACTGCACTATTCCACATCATAACTTTATTTCATTTTTATAACTATTATTATTTTTGTATTGCTCTTGCTCTTATTGTTATTATGTTATGTTATTATGTTGCATTGTTGGAGAAGCCTGTGACATAAGATTTTCAACTGCATAATTACTCTGTAGCTATGTCAGATTGACAATAAAGAACCTTGAACCTTGAACCTTGAACCTAAAGAACTACTAAGACAACTTTGATTTGCATCGAACCAACTTTATTATTTGTATTACATCTCCAGATTGTTGACGAGTGAAAGTTTCCACAAGAATAGACAAACAATTTCATTCATTCCACATCTACATTCCTTGAAGGTGCATTTTCAAACGGGGTCAGAGGTCATTTTAGCTTCTTTTTTATCCCAGGAGTTGAAGAATTAGAGGCTAGCTGTGTTCAAATCAAATCAAATCAAGTTTTATTTATAAAGCACATTTAAAAGCGATTACTACAATCACAATAAAAGACAATAAATTACAACAGATATATATAAAAAATAAAAATAAAACACAAGGAAAAGTCAGGAGTCGTACTCCACTCTAACTAGAAGGCCAGGGAGAAGAAGTGTGTCTTAAGAGTAGATTTAAAAACCCCTAGGGTCTGGGCCGACCTCACATGGAGGGGCAGAGTGTTCCAGAGCCTAGGGCCAGCTGCTGCGAAGGCTCGGTGCCCTCAGGTTTTAAGCCTGGTCTTGGGCACTACCAGCAGCAGCTGGTCAGCAGACCTTAAAGCTCTGGCTGGGGTGTAGCGCTGGAGGAGTTCAGCTATATAGGCCGGAGCCAGCCCATTTAGTGCTTTAAAAACAAATAAAAGGATTTTAAAATCAATTCTGAACCGAACTGGAAGCCAGTGTAGTGAGGCCAGAATTGGGGTGATGTGGTCACGCTTTTTGTGGCCAGTCAGCAAACGTGCAGCTGCGTTTTGGACTAGCTGCAGGCGTTTAATTGAGGCCTGGTCCATACCCACATACAGAGCGTTGCAATAGTCCAGTCTTGAGGTAACAAAGGCGTTAATAACACTTTCTAAGTAATTAAAAGATAAATACGACTTGGTTTTGGCCAATAGTCTTATTTAAAAAAAGCAGGATTTGACTACAGTGCTGACCTGCTTGTCGAATTTAAAAGTGCTAGTGAAGGTCACTCCAAGGTTCGTGACAGAGGGGAGGATGTTTTTTTTGAGAGAGCCCAGAATATCAACCGGAGAGGCTGAAGGTTGGGGTCCAAAAAAGATGACCTCAGTCTTGCTCTCGTTGAGGTTGAGAAAGTTTTTGCTCAGCCAGGATTTTATCTCTGTTAAGCAGTCCATCAACTGCTGTAGTGAGTGTTTGACATTTGCTTTGAGAGGCAGATAGATCTGTACATCGTCGGCGTAGCAGTGGAAGGGAATATTATGTTTTGTGAGAATTGAACCTAGGGGCAGTATGTACAGTAGAAAAAGGATGGGGCCCAGAATCGAGCCTTGGGGAACCCCACAGGTAAGAGGGGCTTTGGCAGAGGAGAAGGCACCAAGCTGTACCGAGAAGCTACGGTCTGTCAGGTAGGACCTGAACCATGCAAGGGCAGAGCCTGTGATGCCAGCGGACTGTTCAAGCCGTGACAACAGGATGCTATGGTCCACAGTGTCAAAGGCAGCTGTCAGGTCTAACAGCACCAAGACAGCGGAGCTACCTGAGTCGGCGGCTAGGAGCAGATCATTAAAAACTCTTAAAAGGGCTGTTTCAGTGCTGTGCATGGGTTTGAAGCCAGACTGAAACTTTTCATGGATTCAATGCATGGTTAAAAAAGACTGCAGCTGGGCGTAGACTACTCGCTCCAGGGCTTTTGATAAAAAAGGTAGCTGGGAGATGGGCCTAAAATTTGCGAGAATGGAGGGGTCGAGATTTTTCTTTTTAAGTAGTGGCTTAACCACGGCATGTTTGAAGGCAGCTGGGACACATCCTGAGCTAATAGAGGTGATTAAAAGTAATAAAATACTTGCTCCAACTGAATCAAAAACATCTCTGAGAAGGCGAGAGGGAATGCTGTCTGAGGTGCAGTTTGTCGGCCGCAGGTGCTTGACTACATCCGAGAGAGAAGAGAGGTATACAGGCTCAAAGTGGTCGAGGACAGCAGGGCACAGAAAAGGAGCAGTATCTGGCACTAGCACTAGTGTGGGCTAGCCTAAGAGCAGATACCTTTTCAATAAAAAATTTAAGAAACTTATCACAGAGAGTAGTCGATGGGACAATAGAAGAAACATCACAGGGATTAATGATAGAGTTGAGGACATTAAAAAGAACCTGAGGTTTATGGCTGTTTTTGGAGATTAACAGAGAAATGTGCTCTGTTTTGGCTGCTCTGACTGCCGTCTGGTAGTCAGAAAGGCAAGCACGAAGGATTTCTAGGGAGACATGGAGTTTATCCTTTTTCCATTTTCTCTCTGCACGCCTGCAAGCGCGTCTGAGAGCACGAGTACAGTCATTGAGCCACGGCTCTGATAGAACTTTGGTGCGTCTAAGCGTAAAAGGAGCAACAGAATCCAGTATTAGTGTGCATGTCGAGTCAAACATGGAGATAAGCTCATCAGCATTAAAAGCACAGTTCACATCTAATTTACAGATCGGAGAAGCATTAAAAACATCAGAGAACTGTGAGGCAGTCAAGGGGTTAATCGAACGCAGACGACGCGCAGGGGCACGTGATTCGACTCCTGCGGAAGGGATGGAGGTTGTAAACAGAACCGGTAAATGGTCTGAGATACGCGTTGCTGCACATATTTCATCCACAGATACAGACAGTCCAAACGATAATACTAAGTCCAAAGTGTGTCCTTTTTCGTGTGTTGGGCCAGCCACGGACTGAACGAGACCAAAAGAATCAAGGAGATTTAAAAAGTCCCTAACCAGAGGTTTGGACTCGCAACACACATGGACATTGAAGTCTCCGGAGATCAAAAAACGATCATATTTCACCATGATCCCGGACAGAAAGTGTGTTGGTGCTGTCTGGGCTGGAAGTGAGCGCAGCTGGTCTGGCTGTGGTTCTGGCTTTTCTATAAATCAAAACAAAACCAGAAGGAAACATAAGATACACAAGTGTGGAGAAGAAGGCATCACATCACTCATTACTGTTCCATCAAATATAGAGAATCACTGACAGAGTAAACGTTGTCATTGGATGGCCAGTGTATTTGAAGGTAAGGCTTGGATTGATATCTGGTATACTTACATGATGGAAGCCATGAGTCTCTGGACTGCCGCCAACTCGGGGTCCAGGCAAAAGCGAAGTCCACTTCTGTCGGTGACACTGTTGAAATGGACAGAGGAGACCTCACGTTAAAAACATATTTTAACCAAATAATGCATATTAACAAATATTCATAAATCATTAGGCAGATAACTAGAAGTGCATTATAATGTTCCACCCAACTGAGGCTGAACTCTAACCTTTGATACATCTAAATTAAAGTGAATTTCTAGGTTTTATTGGTGCCAGGGAGATAAATTGTCCTAATAGCAATTAATAAACCATTTTACTGTAACTTACACAATCTCCACTTTGTCACAGATCGTGGTTGCCGGGCGGATTTGGATGTCCTTTACTTTTGAGCGTATTTTACTCCTGACACGTTGACACAAACAGCCTCCTGATTGATGACCTACAGAAAAAGACAAGGAAAAAAATCATTTAATTTAATTACAATTTGTTTTCACTGCACATATTTCATCTAACAGTTACCAAGACGTATACAAAAGTATATTAAACACCTGACATTTTCTGTGTAAGAGTTGTAAATGCTGATATAGTATAAACACTTACGTCGGGCTTCAGTGATGCAGACGATGACAGCCAGGAGCAGAAACACTTTCATGATGCTGGACATTGTTGCTTTCCTTTTTGGTGGAGAAGACACTAGTGCTAAAACAAATCTTGATTCTTGCTGTGAAGATGATAGAAAGAGCAGTAACAAGTGCAGCTAGAGATGTTAGCTAGAGTCTGAAAGAGCACTGGTTGTTGACAGGAGGACTGTGAAGAGGAAGAGGCTGAGGGGTCCCTCTTAAATACTCTTTTCACTTGCTTACCTCATCATACTTCCTGTGATCAGGGAATTTCTACCAGGCTGGAAAGTGAAACTTCAAAACATTGCATTTTTTACATTACATGTCACTTGTTAGACGTTTTTATCCAAAGCGACTTACATATATACTATGGGCAATCCCCATGGGAGCAATTTGGGGTGAAGCGTCTTGCCCAGGGACACAACGACATGCTGACTGCAGTGGGGTTTGAACGCCTCCTCCAAACCACAAACAATACCTCACTTATGCCCCTCGCCTACCACCCGTGGACATATTACTTTAATATAATGAATTTGAGATGTTGAGGTATACATTTTAACATCATGTGTTATAATAGGAATATAAAAAGTGTAACTTGTTGGATATGTAAACACTCATATTTAACCAAACTTTAAAATCAAACTCACAATATCATTGCTGTATGACGCATTTTAACAAATATTTTTAAACATTTTGAACACTATCTCTTTTTGATGCCATGAAGAACAAAGATCCAAACAGATGAGTAATACAAAAGAATCATATATAATATCTTAGTAAATGAAGGCAACGGTTCACCTGTATCTTATTTGCCACTTGTTCTTATTTGCAAATTACATTTAACACCAAGCTCAGGTCAAATGAGTACATTGCTAGTAAGGGATATGTTTGTCTTCCTAAAGAATGCATCTAAGTAAATTGGCTGCATACAATTATTTCATATAAAACAAATAAAGCGATTAAACTCTACTGAATGTCTTTGTGAAAATTGAATACCATAATATCACAAAAAAAGACATTGAATATTTGTATTTTGTCATATCGTCAAAATCAGAAAACTAAAGTATTATACAAAATCACGTTTTACTTTCCAAAACATAAACCTAAATTACTAACAGAATTGGTAAAAAATGTTTATGGACACAATTTAAATCAAGTTGCTTTAGATTTGCGTGGTCTATTACATTAAGCAACACAGAGTGTGGGTTAGTCTCTGCATCATCTGATTTTGTACGTGTGCATCAGTGGTTAACACCTTGCTCAGACGAAAATGCAAGTTTCAATAGTTTCTTTCCACTGTAGCTGCGTGGTAGTTACACTGTCATGACATTTGTGGAGGGAATATACTACTATTATCAGTAATATCTGATGGACACTGATATTAATTTCCTTTTAATTTTCACTTCAGTTTTTCGATGTTAAAGTGAAAATAGATAGTATATGATACGCCCCCCATAAGGTCACATGTTTACAAAGAAGTTCTTGGTTTCAGAGGAAAGCATTCTCTTACTGTCAGTTTTAGTTTTATGTCCTCTTTCACTTTTTGTTGAAAATGAAATCCCATCACAACTCCGTTTCCTTCCCTAATTCTTGACATCATTCTCGTTCCTTCTGTAATTTGACCATGAGATTGAATTAAAGTGTGAACAACAGTGAGATTATTATAAAAAGCTTTTCTGTAATGCTCTATACCATTTGTAATGACAAGTATTATAAATCACATGTGCTTTAAAAAGAATGAGAAAAATACCATAAAAGCAAAAGAAGGCAACATTATGAACTGCCTTACTGATAAAAGCAGGGCCCAGGACAAGGCACCCACAATATAAACTTTCAAAAAACAGGCATGTTTTATAGGGTTGGTTCAGTAAACTATAGAAATGAATAAATATGACACACTTTTCTTTCTGGTTTCTAGCCATGTGGGTAGTTTTGGTTTTACTTGCCCATGTTTCGAGATCTCTATCTACGTTGCGGCTGAGGGCAGAAGTCTCAGAGATTGATATCTCAAAACCTTGGTAAGTAAAATCAGAATCATCTTCCTGGCTGAAACCTCTCGAGGTAAAATAAAATATATTATTTTTAATCTGGGTGAACCGACCCCGAAAGCGTGGTGACAATGCATTTGTCAGGACCTCGACACAAACTGATGAACCCAAATGCACCACCCAGAGACAAAGTCTTGAATGTAATAAAAAAGTGTATTTATTTGAACAGATCAGGTAATCCCTCTTAACAGAGTAGGTAGTGGAAATAACAAAAAGCGCTCACACGGAGGAAAAAAACTAGCGTAACAAAAAGAGGCCTCAGCTCCTTTCAGAGCTGAGGCTTGGCACGACCATTCGGGGAAACACAAGACGAACTGACACAGGACAGGGGAGAGACAGGACTATTTAAACATGAGGTGAGTGGGAACAGGTGGAAACAATCAGGGGCGGGGCAGACACTGATGATGGCGGGAAAAACACACAAGGGGAGAAAGAAAACAGGGCCTGAAATGAAAGACAAGAGGTAGTACAAAATAAAACAGGAAATGACAGACAACATACATAAACATAACTACATTTGACGAGACACAACCGCATTTTTTTAAGATAATAATAATAATGATAATGATACATGAGACTTGTATAGCGCTTTTCTAAAAACTCAAAGACGCTTGACAGAGAAGAAAAAACAAAGGAAAATAAAAAAGAGATAAACAAAAAACAGAAATAGGGGGGGGGGGATGGTGGTCAGTGGTTGAATGCAGTGTTGAACCGGTGGTGTTTTTGAGTGATGTTTTAATGCGGTGGGGGGAGGAAGAGTCTTTGATGGATTGGGGTATTGAGTTCCAGAGGGTGGGTGCAGCAACGGAGAAGGCTCTGTCGCCCCAGGACTTGAGGTTGGTCCGGGTGGGGGTGGACAGGAGGTTGGCAGCAGCAGAGCGGAGGGAGCGAGTGGGAGTGTGTCTGTGGAGGAGGTCAGTCAGGTAGGATGGGGCCAGGTTATGGAGGGCCTTTGTTTGTCATCAGGAGGATTTTGTACTGAATTCTCTGGGGGATGGGGATAATTGAGGGATAATCAATGTGAAATTGATGAGACAATCCTAAAACTTAGCATAATATCATTATAGACAAGGCTGGTTCTCAGGTAATAAACCTGAAGTGATTTTACACACTGAATTTAAAGTTTAGTTTTTTGGAAATGTGTTTTGCTGAATTGAGCGGGAGCACATGGTGTTGACAGTTTACCTCCTGTCATCGCCATGCAACTTTTGTGTCCTCATGTTATCTGTTGCATATGTTAGCCATATTAATCATATCTAGAAAACTTCTTAGAGAGTAACTCCCTCTAAAATGTGTAAAAGCCAGCCATGGGATCACAGGACACATGACCTGACACATGTACTTAACATCTTGCATTGGCAGCCCTGAACACAAGGTAGCAGTGTTTGTTGACACAACATTATCAGACTTTGAACAGAAAACAAGCACTCAATGCTCCATTGATTTTATATTTATTTAGAAAAACACTGAAATTACCAAAAGGCAAAGGACTTGGTTCAACACATACATTAATTTACAAAAACGAATAAAAGAAATGTAAAAAATAACAGATATACTACAGTGCACATGAGTATAAATAGAGGATAAATAGACAAACAGTTTCATTCATTCCACATCTACATTCCTTTTCAAACGGGGTCAGAGGTCATTTTAGCTTCTTTTGAATCCCAGGAGTTGAAGAATTAGAGGCTAGCTGTGTTGGTGCTGTCTGGGCTGGAAGTGAGCGCAGCTGGTCTGGCTGTGGTTCTGGCTTTTCTATAAATCAAAACAAAACCAGAAGGAAACATAAGATACACAAGTGTGGAGAAGAAGGCATCACATCACTCATTACTGTTCCATCAAATATAGAGAATCACTGACAGAGTAAACGTTGTCATTGGATGGCAGTAGTGTATTTGAAGGTAAGGCTTGGATTGATGTCTGGTATACTTACATGATGGAAGCCATGACTCTCTGGACTGCCGCCCAACTCAGGGGTCCAGGCAAAAGCGAAGTCCTCTTCTGTCGGGTGACACTGTTGAAATGGACAGAGGAGACCTCACGTTAAAAACATATTTTAACCAAATAATTTATATTAACAAATATTCATAAATCATTAGGCAGATAACTAGAAGTGCATTATAATGTTCCACCCAACTGAGGCTGAACTCTAACCTTTGATACATCTAAATAAAGTGAATTTCTAGGTTTTATTGGTGCCAGGGAGATAAATTGTCCTAATAGCAATTAATAAACCATTTTACTGTAACTTACAAATCTCCACTTTGTCACAGAACGTGGTTGCCGGGTTAGATTTGGATGTCCTTTACTTTTGAGCGTATTTTTACTCCTGACACGTTGACACAGACAGCCTCCTGATTGATGACCTACAGAAAAAGACAAGGATTTAATTTAATTAGAATTTGTTTTAACTGCACATATTTCATCTAACAGTTACCGAGACGTATACAAAAGTATATTAAACACCTGACATTTTCTTTGTTAGAGTTGTAAATGCTGATATAGTACAAACACTTACGTTGGGCTTCAGTGATGCAGACGATGACAGCCAGGAGCAGAAACACTTTCATGATGCTGGACATTGTTGCTTTCCTTTTTGGTGGAGAAGACACTAGTGCTAAAACAAATCTTGATTCTTGCTGTGAAGATGATAGAAAGAGCAGTAACAAGTGCAGCTAGAGATGTTAGCTAGAGTCTGAGAGAGCACTGGTTGTTGACAGGAGGACTGTGAAGAGGTAGAGGCTGAGGGTCCCTCTTAAATACTCTTTTCACTTCCTTACCTCATCATACTTCCTGTGATGAGGGAATTTCTACCAGGCTGGAAAGTGAAACTTCAAAACCACAAACAATACCTCACTTATGCCCTCGCCTACCCCCTGTGGTCATATTACTTTAATATAATGAATTTGAGATGTTGAGGTATACATTTTAACATCATGTGTTATAATAGGAATCTAAAAAGTGGTAACTTGTTGGATCTGTAAACACTTTAACCAAACTTTGAAATCAAACTCACAATATCATTGCTGTATGACCCATTAACAAATATTTTTAAACATTTTGAACACTATCTCTTTTTGATGCCATGAAGAACAAAGATCCAAACAGATGAGTAATACAAAAGAATCATATAATATCTTAGTAAATGAAGGCAACGGTTCACCTGTATCTTATTTGCCACTTGTTCTTATTTGCAAATTACATTTAACACCAAGCTCAGGTCAAATGAGTACATTGCTATTAATATGTTATGTATATGTTTGTCTTCCTCAAGAATGCATATAAGTAAATTGGCTGCATACAATTATTTCATATAAAACAAATAAAGCGATTAAACTCTACTGAATGTCTTTGTGAAAATTGAATACCATAATATAACAAAAAAGACATTGAATATTTGTATTTTGTCATATCGTCAAATCAGAAAACTAAAGTATTATACAAAATCACGTTTTACTTTCCAAAACATAAACCTAATTACTAACAGAATTTGGTAAAAAATGTTTATGGACACAATTAAATCAAGTTGCTTTAGATTTGCGTGGTCTATTACATTAAGCAACACAGAGAGTGGGGTTAGTCTCTGCATCGTCTGATTTTGTACGTGTGCATCAGTGGTTAACAACTTGCTCAGACGAAAATGCAAGTTTCAATAGTTTTCTTTCCACTGTAGCTGCGTGGTAGTTACACTGTCATGACCTTTATGGAGGGAATATACTACTATTATCAGTAATATCTGATGGACACTGATATTAATTTCCTTTGAATTTTCACTTCAGTTTTCCGATGTTAAAGTATTAATAGATAGGATATGATACCCCCCCATAAGGTCACATGTTTACAAAGAAGTTCTTGGTTTCAGAGGAAAGCATTCTCTTACTGCTCAGTTTTAGTTTTATGTCCTCTTTCACTTTTGTTGAAAAATGAAATCCCATCACAACTCCGTTTCCTTCCCTAATTCTTGACATCATTCTCGTCCCTTCTGTAATTTGACCATGAGAATTGAATTAAAGTGTGAACAACAGTGAGATTATTATAAAAAGCTTTTCTGTAATGCTCTATACCATTTGTAATGACAAGTATTATAAATCACATGTGCTTTAAAAAGAATGAGAAAATACCATAAAAGCAAAAGAAGGCAACATTATGAACTGCCTTACTGATAAAAGCAGGGCCCAGGACAAGGCACCCACAATATAAACTTTCAAAAAACAGGCATGTTTATAGGGTTGGTTCAGTAAACTATAGAAATGAATAAATATGACACACTTTTCTTTCTGGTTTCTAGCCATGTGGGTAGTTTTGGTTTTACTTGCCATGTTTCGAGATCTCTATCTACGTTGCGGCTGAGGGCAGAAGTCTCAGAGATTGATATCTCAAAACCTTGGTAAGTAAAATCAGAATCATCTTCCTGGCTGAAACCTCTCGAGGTAAGATAAAATATATTATTTTTAATCTGGGTGAACCGACCCCGAAAGCGTGGTGACAATGCATTTGTCAGGACCTCGACACAAACTGATGAACCCAAATGCACCACCCAGAGACAAAGTCTTGAATGTAATAAAAAAGTGTATTTATTTTAACAGATCAGGTAATCCCTCTTAACAGAGTAGGTAGTGGAAATAACAAAAAGCGCTCACACGGAGGAAAAAACTAGCGTAACAAAAAGAGGCCTCAGCTCCTTTCAGAGCTGAGGCTTGGCACGACCATATCGGGGAAACACAAGACGAACTGACACAGGACAGGGGAGAGACAGGACTATTTAAACATGAGGTGAGTGGGAACAGGTGGAAACAATCAGGGGCGGGGCAGACACTGATGATGGCGGGAAAAAACACACAAGGGGAGGAAGAAAACAGGGCCTGAAATGAAAGACAAGAGGTAAGTACAAAATAAAACAGGAAATGACAGACAACATACATAAAACACATTTGACGAGACACAACCGCATTTTTTAAGATAATAATAATAATGATAATAATACATGAGACTTGTATAGCGCTTTTCTAAAAACTCAAAGACGCTTTGACAGAGAAGAAAAAACAAAGGAAAATAAAAAAAGAGATAAAACAAAAACAGAAAATAGGGGGGGGGGGGATGGTGGTCAGTGGTTGAATGCAGTGTTGAACCGGTGTGTTTTGAGTGATGTTTTTAATGCGGTGAGGGAGGAAGAGTCTTTGATGGATTGGGGTATTGAGTTCCAGAGGGTGGGTGCAGCAACGGAGAAGGCTCTGTCGCCCCAGGACTTGAGGTTGGTCCGGGTGGGGGTGGACAGGAGGTTGGCAGCAGCAGAGCAGGAGGGAGCGAGTGGGAGTGTGTCTGTGGAGGAGGTCAGTCAGGTAGGATGGGGGCCAGGTTATGGAGGGCTTTGTTTGTCATCAGGAGGATTTTGTACTGAATTCTCTGGGGGATGGGGATAATTGAGGGATAATCAATGCGGAAATTGATGAGACAATCCTAAAACTTAGCATAACATCATTATAGACAAGGCTGGTTCTCAGGTAATAAACCTGAAGTGATTTTACACACTGGAATTTAAAGTTTAGTTTTTGGAAATGTGTTTTGCTGAATTGAGCGGGGAGCACATGGTGTTGACAGTTTACCTCCTGTCATCGCCATGCAGCTTTTGTGTCCTCATGCTATCTGTTGCATATGTTAGCCATATTAATCATATCTAGAAAACTTCTTAGAGAGTAACTCCCTCTAAAATGTGTAAAAGCCAGCATGGGATCACAGGACACATGACCTGACACATGTACTTAACATCTTGCATTGGCAGCCCTGAACCACAAGGTAGCAGTGTTTGTTGACACAACATTATCAGACTTTGAACAGAAAACAAGCACTCAATGCTCCATTGATTTTATATTTATTTAGAAAAACACTAAATTACCAAAAGGCAAAGGACTTGGTTCAACACATACATTAATTTACAAAAACGAATAAAAGAAATGTAAAAAATAACAGATATACTACAGTGCACATGAGTATAAATAGAGGATAAATAGACAAACAGTTTCATTCATTCCACATCTACATTCCTTTTCAAACAGGGTCAGAGGTCATTTTAGCTTCTTTTGGATCCCAGGAGTTGAAAGAATTAGAGGCTAGCTGTGTTGGTGCTGTCTGGGCTGGAAGTGAGCGCAGCTGGTCTGGCTGTGGTTCTGGCTTTTCTATAAATCAAAACAAAAACCAGAAGGAAACATAAGATACACAAGTGTGGAGAAGAAGGCATCACATCACTCATTACTGTTCCATCAAATATAGAGAATCACTGACAGAGTAAACGTGTCATTGGATGGTCAGTGAGTGTATTTGAAGGTAAGGCTTGGATTGATGTCTGGTATACTTACATGATGGAAGCCATGAGTCTCTGGACTGCCGCCAACTCAGGGTCCAGGCAAAAGCGAAGTCCTCTTCTGTCGGTGACACTGTTGAAATGGACAGAGGAGACCTCACGTTAAAAACATATTTTAACCAAATAATTTATATTAACAAATATTCATAAATCATTAGGCAGATAACTAGAAGTGCATTATAATGTTCCACCCAACTGAGGCTGAACTCTAACCTTTGATACATCTAAATTAAAGTGAATTTCTAGGTTTTATTGGTGCCAGGGAGATAAATTGTCCTAATAGCAATTAATAAACCATTTTACTGTAACTTACACAATCTCCACTTTGTCACAGAACGTGGTTGCCGGGTAGATTTGGATGTCCTTTACTTTTGAGCGTATTTTACTACTGACACGTTGACACAGACAGCCTCCTGATTGATGACCTACAGAAAAGACAAGGATTTAATTTTATTAGAATTTGTTTTAAACTGCACATATTTAATCTAACAGTTACCGAGACGTATACAAAAGTATATTAAACACCTGACATTTTCTTTGTTAGAGTTGTAAATGCTGATATAGTACAAAACACTTACGTTGGGCTTCAGTGATGCAGACGATGACAGCCAGGAGCAGAAACACTTTCATGATGCCGGACATTGTTGCTTTTCCTTTTGGTGGAGGAAGACACTAGTGCCTAAACAAATCTTGATTCTTGCTGTGAAGATGATAGAAAGAGCAGTAACAAGTGCAGCTAGAGATGTTAGCTAGAGTCTGAAGAGAGCACTGGTTGTTGACAGGAGGACTGTGAAGAGGTAGAGGCTGAGGGTCCCATCTTAAATACTCTTTTTCACTTCCTTACCTCATCATACTTTCCTGTGATGAGGGGAATTTCTACCAGGCTGGAAAGTGAAACTTATAATAGGAATCTAAAAAGTGTAACTTGTTGGATCTGTAAACACTCATATTTAACCAAACTTTTGAAATCAAACTCACATATGCTGTATGATCCATCAACAAATATTTTTTAAACATTTTGAACACTATCTATTTTTGATGCCATGAAGAATAAAGATCCAAACAGATGAGTAATAAAAAAGGATCATATATAATATCTCATATCGTCATATCGTCAAAATCAGGAAACTAAAGTATTATACAAAATCACGTTTTACTTTCCAAAACATAAACCTAAATTACTAACAGAATTGGATAAAAAATGTTTATGGACACAATTTAAATCAAGTTGCTTTAGATTTGCGTGGTCTATTACATTAAGCAACACAGAGAGTGGGTTAGTCTCTGCATCGTCTGATTTTGTACGTGTGCATCAGTGGTTAACACCTTGCTCAGACGAAAATGCAAGTTTCAATAGTTTCTTTCCACTGTAGCTGCGTGGTAGTTACACTGTCATGACATTTATGGAGGGAATATACTACTATTATCAGTAATATCTGATGGACACTGATATTCATTTCCTTTGAATTTTCACTTCAGTTTTCCGATGTTAAAGTATTAATAGATAGGATATGATACCCCCCATAAGGTCACATGTTTACAAAGAAGTTCTTGGTTTCAGAGGAAAGCATTCTCAGTTTTAGTTTTATGTCCTCTTTCACTTTTTGTTGAAAATGAAATCCCATCACAACTCCGTTTCCTTCCCTAATTCTTGACATCATTCTCGTTCCTTCTGTAATTTGACCATGAGATTGAATTAAAGTGTGAACAACAGTGAGATTATTATAAAAAGCTTTTCTGTAATGCTCTATACCATTTGTAATGACAAGTATTATAAATCACATGTGCTTTAAAAAGAATGAGAAAATACCATAAAAGCAAAAGAAGGTGACATTATGAACTGCCTTACTGATAAAAGCAGGGCCCAGGACAAGGCACCCACAATATAAACTTTCAAAAAACAGGCATGTTTGATAGGGTTGGTTCAGTAAACTACAGAAATGAATAAATATGACACACTTTTCTTTCTGGTTTCTAGCCATGTGGGTAGTTTTGGTTTTACTTGCCCATGTTTCGAGATCTCTATCTACGTTGCGGCTGAGGGCAGAAGTCTCAGAGATTGATATCTCAAAACCTTGGTAAGTAAAATCAGAATCATCTTCCTGGCTGAAACCTCTCGAGGTAAGATAAAATATATTATTTTTAATCTGGGTGAACCGACCCTGAGAGCGTGGTGACAATGCATTTTTTAAGATAATCAATGTGATGAGGCACTCAAAATGTAGCATAAAATCATTATAGACAGGGCTGGTTAGGTAATACACCTGAATTGATTTTACACAATGTATTTAAAGTTGAGTTTTTTTCGAAAAAATATGAGTTTTGCTGAATTTCTCTGCCAGACTCCTGTATATTTCTTTAACCTAGATAAAAGACACATGGGTCCTGTTGAATTTATTGGACATATGTCAAAGCTACACACTTAAGACTGCTAATTTAAGACTCAGGGGTCTTCCCTGACAAGCAGTGAAAGGGACTTTCATCTATTTCTACATAAGAACCACAGTGGTCAGCCAATGTGATTTCTCTGAAACTACTTTAACAGAGGAAACCTCATGACCAGAAGTGGGAAGTAACTAAGTAGATTAACTCAAGTACTGTACTTAAGAACAATTTTGAGGGACTTACCCTTTACTTGAGTATTTCAATGTTTTGTTACTTACTTCTACTCCACTACAATTCAGAGGTAAATCGTGCACTTTTACTCCACTACATTCATTTAATACCTTTAGTAACTTTGCCGATTTGGATTAATGATGTGAAATATAATCAACACTTAAATAAGACTTTACTAACACCTGGAGTAAATTCACCAGCTACCCTGCAGTATACTGAGTCATTAAAACTAGCTGCACCTTTACCAGCTTTGATAACACTTTAATGATCAATCATTAAAATCAAACATATCATATATATTATTCTGAAATGGTCAAATCTGCAGAATGTACTTTTACTTTGTACTTTAAGTATTTAGATGCCAATACTTTTTTACTTTACTTGAGTAACATTTTGAATGAAGGACTTTTACTGTAACATAGTATTACACTCTGGTACTTCTACTTTTACTCAAGTACAAGATCTGAGTACTTCGCCCACCTCTGCTCATGACACCAATTAAATCTCCAACAAAAAAATGCGTGTCGAAACATGTGAGTCGTATCAAACCTGCTCTGATTTGTTATAACGCACTAGTTTGCAGTGGTTCAGCTGCCACACTCTGATAAAGTCTGACAGATGCACTTAGCAGGCCTGCATTCTTTACATATCCCTTCAGTTAATATTTCATGTGTTTTACTTATGAGGGACCAGAAAGTGCACCAGCTCACATCAGTAAAGCACAGCTTGTGCCTACATATACTGTAAATGCACTGGAACAAAAAGGGGGGTGACTGGAACACAGATTTCAGTGACAGAAGCCATATGACCAGCATGGTTCACGGAAAATATATTTTTGGAAGCCCTATTAGCTGTGTAGGGGGTAAATGTTTGTTCGGGTATGCGAGGGAAATACCAACCACAGCTATCTTTAATAATTCACATTTCCTTTTTGTGAAGAGATGCAGCTCTTTAACCAAAAGCAAAGACCACAAAGAAGTGTTACCCTGTGTAGGAATGAAGAGACAGGAACTGAAAACGTCAGCAGAGTCTCTTCCTCTGCAGACTCTTGGTATACAGCCTGAGTGGTTGCACTTCTCATTTCTATTAAACAGTGATCGGCAGAGAATAATTGTGAAAGCGAGTTGTGGGATTTCTTACAAATAAATCAAGAACTAAATCAGTTGTGGAAAGAAGTACTATATTCCAACTATGTTAAAAATAGTAAATGTCAATAATTAAAAAAAGCAAACCACTGAAGCCAAAGTACAGAAATATTAACAGCAAACCATACTCAAATTATCAACAGTAGAATAACTCATTCTACAGAACAATCTCACTCATTTTGGTAAGGTGTCACAGGCCAAGAGCAATAGGTTTAACTGCTGGTTCAATCACTGAATCAATCTTTAAGAAAATGTCTATCATCTTTTTCTTTTTTATTGTAACTAGCATTATACTTTAGATGTCATATAATGGAGTAAAAGTAGCCTATGTTTCAATCTGAAGGAAGTAGAAGTATATAGTAGCATAACATTGAGATACTCAAATAAATGTACCATAACATTTTCTTTGGGTAAAGAATATAAGTAAATGTATTTTCCAACACACATCCACTTTTTACCTTTGTACATCCGATATAAAGAGGATACCACCAGACTTTCAGTTCCGGCTCAACTCTTCGTCGAAAGTGACCTGTGGCCTCAGGCTGTTGTACAAAGAGTTTTTATGCCGAGTTGATGGTGTAAGTCAAAAGGGTACACATGAGTTTTGTTTGATATTTTGACTATACTTCCTTTGTGAGGTTCAAAGTGTGGTTGAGCATAGTTTAGACAATTTCTTTTTTGTCAAAGGCCCCATATTAGTCTGTTCAAATCGAGACTTCTATATAGTAATATTTTGCCTGAAAAGAAAAATGTTTTAATATTACTTTAAAAGTCTTTGGAAATGTATTTTTTAGGTAGTGTACAAACTGTCATAGCACCGCCTGTCTTGGCAAACTATCATTCTGGTAACACTATGTCTTGCCTTTCATTTGGTGAGGTAAGTGTGAAAAGAGAGAGATATTTGTTAGTTGATGTGACCGCACGGGACTCTTCGAAAGTTTCCAGCCCCCGAAAGACTGTTTCCTGTGAGAGAAGTGTTATTCTCTCACTAGACGTTTCAGCTTGTATGTTTCCCCTATGTCTCACGACATGTCTTCCATTTGTTCAAAACTGCATAGTGTTTGAACAATAGTACTTTTGGTTCATCACAACTCATACGTTTATAGTTTTGGCCGTCAGTGCAATTGGTTATGATGCAAATGACATTGTATTCAACCCAAAACAATGCTGGGATCTATGAACATGGCCCATCAAAGTACCATGAATAAAAAAAACAAATGTTCAGACAGGTTGTAAACAGGCCCACATTTCAGCATCATTGTTACTTGGTGGTCAAACCTTGCATTGATCACCCAAAATGTTTATAATAATCCATAAGTAGACAAAAGAAAACTGCCTTTGGGCAAAACAACATCAATAAGTCCAACAAAGTTTGTTTGAATATTATTTGAGTGATATTTCTTGCTCCAATATGATTCAAAACTGTGTCACAATGCTCAGCAGCGACAGTTTTCAGTTCAGCATAGACTTTTTCATCCTACAAATTTGATGAAATGGAAGAATGGAAGCAAGATAGCATTACTTGTCTGATCTTAGAAGTAACATTATACCAAATGTTGTTATGTTGTTATGTTATTTGATACCGCCACAGCAGAAGGATCACTTTCCAGTAACAATGTAACTGTTAGCTCTGGATTATCCTCAGAAAAAGCAGCTCCAAACCAAACAGTTCAGTTAATGGAGCATGCACATTGTCTCTGGAGAGACACAGTGCTGTAACAATGTTTGACACCTCAGTCATAAACATACAAACCTGGTAAATAAAACCAAACTAATTAGACAGGTATACGTTTTTGATTTTGGTTATTATAATGTGTGATGGGTTGTGATCCTTTTCTAAGCCTGCCCTCTAGTGTTTAGGTTTGAAAACTTCAGCCAAGAGTTGCTTTGTGTTGTTTCTGGCTGAACCTTTGCCGAAGAGAACAAATTCTCAATAATCATAGACAAAGACAATATTTCTTTCTTCTTACAACTACATTACAAATACATATTAAGAATCTAATATAATTAAAATATTG